AATAAAGGCCCTTAAATAAAATATAGACAGGTGTATTCTGCCTGTGCAGCTTCTCTCGCAACCTAGTACTGAAACTTCTAGATCCATAGGGAAATCTGCTTTAACCTTACCCAGCAATTATTTAGGCAGTAAAGATAAATATAACCAAAATAACTGGCACTAAGACATATGGGCTTATGGGCAGCGGACAATGACAGTAATATGAGAACACTTTCAACAAAATATTGTGTTACAAGGACCTTCTGAATAAGGAAGATTTCACTGTATGATTATTGCATTGCCAGGGAGTTATAGGCTTGTGGTTGAATTGCTAAACTAAGTTTTAAGTTCAGAAGAAGAGGTCTACATGAAAAATATACAATTTCCTACTGTACGAGGTTCCCAGGCGTCTGAGGATTTTCAGGACAGGCTTGTTTTTCACTACTGAAATTCACAGTTCAGATTTTTAAAGAACTAAGTTTTGTGGGGTTCATGTAATAATTGCTTTCCTGTTCCAAAAAGGAAGCAGGTAGAGAAATAAATACAGGTAACTGGGAGAAGTTATAGCAGGGAAGTGGAAAATTTCCTTACTGACCCCTCACTGCTAAGCCAAGTGTTCTTTGTGGTTTTGCTTTTGGCCATTTTAGGCTAAAGCAGGCTGCAAAGGTTGCAAGGCAGGACAATGCCCATGTGAACAACTTGTCCTAAAGCTGACCTTTATAAATCTGCATTAATACATTCCTAATAACATAAATAGTATATAGAGAGAGGGGAAGGGGAGGGGGAGGGGAGAGAGAGAGAGAGAGAGAGAGATTTATAAAAACATAGCACACTGCTTTGTTAAAATAATGTTACAAAAGAACTCTCTCAATATCACAAAATTACAATAAAACAAGTCTATCAATATCTCAATCACATAGATGGAACTGAGTTCCAAGGATATAGGGCTGAAATCAGCCGTACCAGCCTGAAGTGAATAGCCGAACGGTATTCGGCTCACTTCACTTCTGATCGGTCATTCACTCGGCTGCCCTCGGCAGCTTTGTGAATAGACCCCAAAATGTCCATTATCATAGAGCTATAACATAAATACTGCATATGTCAATGTTGTATTCATCCAACATGTTTCTTGGAGCAAAGTCCTCCCTTTCAAGAATGCAGTAATACAAAGAATCTCTTTAAATGAACAAATACATATATACTGTATATGGTTTAAAAAAATATATAAATATATATGTATATATAAATAATATATTGCCAAAAGTATTGGGACGCCTGCCTTTACACGCACATTAACTTTAATGACATCCCAGTCTTAATCCGTAGGGTTCAATATTGAGTTGGCCCACCCTTTGCAGCTATAACAGCTTCAACTCTTCTGGGAAGGCTGTCCACAAGGTTTAGGAGTGTGTCTATGGGAATGTTTGAACATTCTTCCAGAAGTGCATTTGAGCTCAGGTACTGATGTTGGACGAGAAGGCCTGGCTCGCTGTTTCCACTCTATTTCATCCCAAAGGTGTTCCATCGGGTTGCAGGCCAGTCAAGTTCCTCCAACCCAAACTTGCTCATCCATATCTTTATGGACCTTGCTTTGTGCACTGGTGCGCAGTCATGGTGGAACAGGAAGAGGCCATCCCCATACTGTTCCCACAAAGTTGGGAGCATGAAATTGTCCAAAATGTCTTGGTATGCTGATGCCTTAAGAGTTCCCTTTTCTGGAACTAAGGGGCCAAGTCCAACCCCTGAAAAACAACCCTACACCATAATCCGCCCTCCACCAAACTTTACACTTGGCATAATGCAGTCAAACAAGTACCGATTCTCCTGGCGACCGCCAAACCCAGAAACATCCATCAGATTGCCAGACAGAGAAGCGTTTCAGATGTGACCCCATGTTGCGAAATGCAATACACTTTAGGAGAAGGGTCCAGTATGCAGATGAAAATTCATATGTCGGATTCTGGCACTACTTTTGTTTGTCCTGGTGAACATTTTACATAGGACAGTAGTCTAATGGAAATTCAAAAATGTTAGATTTGACATCAGAGCAGGGAGAGATTGTAATTCTTCCAATGGGGGTACCTGCTTATGTGAAAACTGTCACAGGGATTTTTTCAAGTAAGCTTCAATTGCATTATCAAAAACAACTATAGTATGTACTCCTATTACAATGCTGATGTTATAACAGTCTATAATAAGTCTATGCTGTGACTTTAACTTTCAAAGTTTCTTTATTTCAAATAAAGAACAAAGTAAATTAACATTACAGGAACAGTAAAGAGAGACCCCCCGCCGACCACTCTCGTAGTTTAAAGTGCAGGTTACGTAGAAAAATCAAAGGAAACAAAGCAACCAGTGAGGACAGCGATCCAGAAATGTTACAGATTATTGCTCATGTACGACATCTTATCCAATGATTCAGAGAAAGTAACAGTATAATACCTACATAAAACAATATTGGCCAAGGAAGTTCAATAAGTTCAGGAACATCCATCAGGAATATGCTGTGACTTAAGAACTCCTTTAACATAGCTGACCGAAGAAGCAGTAATACTAAATCAGGAAGTAGCAGACTGACTATCCTGACTAGTAGAGGTGTGTGTATCACAAGAATGGCTCGCTAATGACACATTCTTTGTCAGGTAGAAGATATATATTTCAATCATCTATTAAAAGTTACACTTTGCCCTCAAATAGGGTTAGTGGAATTTTGCTTGGAAGCTATCTGGTCACTTCTTGTCTAGTTGCTAAAGTATACAAGATCTAGAATACTGCATATCAAATTTACAAATTTACAATGCAAACATGACCACTGTCAGAAATTTAGCCACATACTAACAATGGCAGTGAAGATTTTACCATTCATACATTCGGGTTCTCTGCCCTAAAAGCAGCATGTATATCCTTCTCACTCAAGTTAACCAGATACACAGAAGACATGTCAGAATTATGGATAGCTTTAAGGGTATCTATGACCTCTCCTGATAAAGTACTTGGCTCTATGTACTCCAGTGGTTTGGGAAGAAGTGATTGGTTTTCTTTATTATCTTCATTTTTCATGAACAGTCAATAGACAAAACTGACTTTTTATTTATCTTTTCCACTTCTTTATGCATGGCTAATAATTCTCCTTAAAGCATTATGCTTTCATGCCCGGAAACATCAATATTATATTATTTAATCTATACGCACTTGTCACTAACCCTTCAGAATTCTGAGCTTCACTTTGTTACCATTACATGGCTTTATTAGGGGCAATTATTGCTTATATTGTTTCCCTGTATAGTATAATCTTTCTTTTGTCTATGTTTAATGTACGCCTTTTATTGTTCAGCTTAAGGCCTAGGTTTAAGATCCTTTTTTTGTTCTTTGTCCCTACACTTTTGTGCTATTTCAATTTCAAGTCAATTATCAGGCATTCCCGCTTGAAGATAATTAATGCGCGCATTGAAAATCAAAGGTGCAGTGTGTATACCTATCTCATAGCTCATGGGCAAAATTATCAAAAGAGATTACGAAAATATGTTGATGGTTTTTAATTTCATTTAAAGTTGGATGCATGTTAACCTAAATAATTTGCAAAAAGCAAAATGTTGTACCAAACTTAAGAACCATGAACTGGAAAAGAAAAATGCTCAGTCTGAGTGTATTTTTAAACTTTCATTTGAAATATGTACAGCAGACGTTCAAAGAAAAGGGCTTTCTTTTCTATAGAACAAGATGTACTTAGAATGGAAGAGTGGCTTTCATCAAAGGCAGCCTGCCCATTTAGTAATACAAAATGATAGCTTCAATTATCTATTCTGAATATTTTTTGTGTTAACCCTAATGTGAATATGTTTTATCTTTTTCACCACAACAAGCTGCTTAGATGACACATCCTGCTTTTAAATTCTGGCTGTGATGGGATATGCTAAGGAACCTTCTAACCTCCTTCAATGTGCAGAATCCTTTTTCACCATCCCTGGAAAAATATGACAGTGATGTGCGCTCTGTTTTCTTCATTCTATTATGCACTGCTTTTAAAAGCTAGCCATACACATTAAAATCTGATTGCACAAACAATCTCTGTATGATTTGCCAGCAACTATGTACATGAGGCCAAGCTAGCCAAATAATTGGACCATCAAACTACAATGTTGGTAAATTTAAGGGAGATTGCACAATAGGGATATAACATGTGCGACCAGCTTAAAGGAGACTAGTGCTTAGGGGCATATGGAGCCTGCAATTGCTAGCCTTCTTTGAGAAAATTATAATTGCCTGGCTATCTCTGGCTTTAGTACTTCTAGACACTGAAACAACTACGTAGGGGAGGGAAGTTAAAGAGATGCTGTCATCTGCCCATTCAAGGGGAAACTGCCAATGTCTCCTGATAGCCCACCTTCCAGCAAGTTAAAATAACCTTTCTGGTGCTCAGTCGCTGCTTTCCAAAATTATAGGAGCCCTCACTCCATTGCTCTAACGGAGCAAATCTTTCAGGTATGGTGGAGCATGTTACCTGCCCCTTGTGAGGCCTGGGCCTGAGTGGGCAATCACCAGGATCAAACCTGTGGTTGAGCATAGATCAGCACATCACTTACTTTAACTATTCCTAAACTTGCTCCAGGACAGCAATTGAATTACACTTACCAGTAAGAAAAAGCTCTTGTCTTTGTTCACAATGGGAAAAGCATTGTGTAAAAAGGTACTAAATCAGCAATGTATTACTAGCACGTTAGATTTTGGTGCTGGGTTTTTGCAGCAATAAGAGTTAAAAATGTCCTTACCCGTTACCTAACCTTTACCCTGATCCTAATACTTAGGATCCCCTCCATTCAAAACTTACCTAATTCCTATATTAACCCTTAAAGTCACAGTCCACACAAAAATAATATTTCCATATTAGGTCGATGGTAGAGAGTCAAACCACCTGACATCTCTCAATTATTTCTGGGTCTGCACATCTGCAGTAGAAAATTACAGCAAGGAGATCTTAGCATTGAAGTACTGAAGACATGAGATTCCAATAGCTGACTCACCATGCTCCATTCATACCTAAAACAGCAATTTGGGGGGACTAATTCTTTAAGTCCTTCAAGTCAAGACTTGAAAGGGGCCATTAAATAGCTGTCAGTAATAGACAATTCTACACTGTTTCGACTTCTCTACAACAATGATCTTGCTTTCATAGATGACATGATCGCTCTAACCCACACCGCGTATCCCTGCTTATTGGACTCCAGGTATAAAATATATATCTAAATGATGGCAGCTAAATTGTTAATGAAGAAAATGTAATCCACAGGGCTGCATTCATACTAGTGAAACAGGACATTAATTTTTCATGAAAACTTCACACCAACCTTAGGGCAGCTGATAGGCCTGGCTTAGGGGATGTCTATTAGTATCTCATGTGAGTAAGCACAGAATATTGTTCTCTCTGTTATTAAGCAAAGCCTCAGTCAAAGGCAGGTTAGTTGCTAGGAGCCCCAGGGCAGTATTTTATCACTGGAATTCAGGTGAATTTGATTAGTTATATTATGGGGAATGAATTATATGTCATTAGAAACAAATGACTCTCAATTTCCACCCTTTTGCTTTACACAGAACTATAGTGTGATAGTGATGTTGTTACTGAATTCCTGCCAAACCTCTAAGTCTACCCAGCAAAAAATATATTTAGTATGTTATTAACCACTTAATGGTCAGTATATTATTTCATTTTGTATTTCACATGGCTTTAGTAACAAATTACAGTGGTTGGCACAGGCTATAACACTGCTAGGGGTGATTTGCAATGCTTACCTTTTATTCACACTGTTAATTTAAAACAAAATATTTCTGCATCTGCCTAAGCACCCGGCAGTGTTAAAGTTTGTCCCAACCCTTGTAGACAGCTTGGTCTGCATGTAAAGGCTTTGTAAATTAATATTAATAGAAGCAAGTAAAATAAAGACTAATATACTAAACACAGAGTACTCTCATTATGTGCATTAATCACATACACTTACCAGAACACAATATTTTTGATGATAGCGGTCTTTTAAATCCCACAAATGCCACTCTGCATGGAGTGGAGAAGACTTAGAATTTGGTTGTTTTTTTTGTTTTATTTTTTGACCAACCAACCAAAATTAGACATTTTTTAATTTTAGTTTTGAACAGAGTTAAAAGGGATAAAAAAATAAACAAGACTTGATGGTAAATAGAACATCAGAAATATCCCATGTCTTCAGAGATTATTAACCAATCCTGTACAATGTAAGATCTGAAGCTACCATCCAGACTAAGGCCCAACATCTGGACCGTATCCAAAACTATTTGACCTTAGCCCAGCTTCCCTCTTTGCCCAAACCGAATGTGGAGAGTTTGGAATCTCCTATAAGTGCAGAGGAGATTCAACAGGCTATAGCGGTAATGGCTAATGGGAAAAGCCCGGGGCCGGACGGCTATACAGCAAAATATTAAAAAAAATTTCAACATATATTGCTCCCTCATCTATGTGAGTACTTCAACTCCTTTATGGATGGTATACCCCCAATTCCATCAACACTACATGCTTATATATCTGTATTTTCTAAACCGGGTAAGGACCCAACTACATGTAGTAGTTATAGGCCAACTAAATACAGATATAAAAGTCTACGCCAAGGTTTTAGCGACTAGACTTAGTGAGTTGATGTCCCATATAGTAACAACTGATCAAACGGGCTTCATATTAGGTAGGGAGGCTAGAGATAGCACCCAGAGGGCGATTAACTTAATACATCAGGCCTTGTTATCTTCAAAACCTACCTTGCTTTTGTCTAGGGACGCAGAAAAAGCGTTTGATAGAGTCAATTGGGACTATCTGCAGGCCACCCTTCAAGCAGTAGGAATAGGACCCAGGTTTTTGATGGGGATTATGGCACTATATAATAATCCCACTGCACAAATTAAAGTAAACGGATCCCTATCAAACAAATTTACATAACAGAATGATACACGTCAAGGGTGTCCATTATCACCATTGTTATTCGCCCTATCATTAGAACCTTTTCTCAACTTGGTTAGAATTTAACAGGAGTATCTGGGGTATTACAGTAGGTACTATGGAACATAAACTGGCCACTTATGCGGATGATATTCTTTTCTTTATTACACAACCTCAGATCTCATTGCCTTCACTGATACAAGAATTTGAATCATTCAATCGGGTATCAAATTTTAAAATTAATCTATCTAAATCCGAGATTCTAAATATTTCCGCCCCGGGCCGCATGGTGGCGGCTTTGAAAGAAGTAACGCCTTTCAGTTGGCAAGATCAGAAAATTTGATATCTTGGTATATTACTCACATCTAGAGTTTTGGATTTATTTACGGTTAATTATATGACCTTGTTGAATGCAATAAATAAGGACCTCAATACCTGGTTTAATCATCGCCCAGGTATTTCTCTAACGGGTCGAATAAATGTTATTAAGATGATGATCCTACCACGGGTACTATATATATTCCAAACAGTGCCAATTACCTTACCTCATTTTTTCTTACGAACATTGAGATCGGTGGTTAGACGTTTTATTTGGAGACGTGCTCCCGCTAGGATCTCTCATGGAGCCCTAATTAGGACTAGGCGTAAGGGAGGCTTGGCATTACCAGATTTTGGGATTTATTACCAGGCGGTTGCAATTAATAGAATGTTGGATTTATACTATCACAAGGAAACTAAAAAATGGGTAGAGATGGAGAATGTGCTTGCTGGTCAAATAGTATCGAATATATGTTGGATCCCCAAAGAATATTGGAAATTACATCCCCATGTCTCCCCACTTACTAGTCACACGTTAAAGATTTGGAATTTATTATATTCTCGGCTAATAGGGCAATATAATTCTCCTATAATGCCAGTGACAGATCACATATTTTTTTCACCAGGAATGCACAACACAAGTTTTCTTAAATGGACGAATCATGCTATATTAAAACTCCATCACGTATGTGATGGACACAAAATGTATTCTTTAGCTGATCTCCGAGCACAATGGGGGATTTACCTCTTTGACACATGGAGACATAGGCAATTATCACATTTTATATTATCACTTTCAAAACCTTTACGTACTATATCTGAACTCACAGCACTAGAAAAATTATTTAGTTTCACCGATTCTCCGCGACATGGTATTTCTCAATTGTATAGGATCCTATAAGATCAGCAACCCAACCTGTTCCCAATGTATCTGAAACAGTGGGAACAGGAATTGGAGATCACCTGGACGGATTCACAGAAACAAAGAATCTTAAGTCTTAACTCATTCTCGTCTCTAAGTGCCCTAGTGACTGACACAATGGGGGTGATTTACCAACCAACCAAAATTAGACATTTTTTTATTTTAGTTTTGAACAGAGTTAAAAGGGATAAAAAAATAAACAAGACTTGATGGTAAATAGAACATCAGACATATCCCATGTCTTCAGAGATTATTATTCAATCCTGTACAATGTAAGATCTGAAGCTACCATCCAGACTAAGGCCCAACATCTGGACCGTATCCAAAACTATTTGACCTTATGTGATGGACACAAAATGTATTCTTTAGCTGATCTCCGAGCACAATGGGGGATTTACCCCTTTGACACATGGAGACATAGGCAATTATCACTTTCAAAACCTTTACGTACTATATCTGAACTCACAGCACTAGAAAAATTATTTAGTTTCACCGATTCTCCGCGACATGGTATTTCTCAATTGTATAGGATCCTATTAGATCAGCAACCCAACCTGTTCCCAATGTATCTGAAACAGTGGGAACAGGAATTGGAGATCACCTGGACGGATTCACAGAAACAAAGAATCTTAAGTCTTAACTCATTCTCGTCTCTAAGTGCCCTAGTGACTGACACAATGGGGGTGATTTACTAACCTAAACACACGCACGCACCAGGTGCGTGTGATTTTTACACAGCAAAGCGTATTTATCAACCAAAAAGTCTCTATAAGCATATTTCCACTAATGCCATATATGGAAAAATCATGCACATGATGCATATATAATGCTGCTTCACAGTTTAGACAAAAATGGTTAGCTCATTCATTTACATTCCTGCATTCATCAACGCAAGCAACACAATGTAGAGCTAATTTACACAACATCACCTTGCAATTCAGGGCAGGGCTTTGCACAACACACCTGCTGGGTGTGTACAGACTACAAAGGTGTTTAGATTCCACCCATAGATCATGCTGGGAGGGAACACACTACAGAGGTGTATACATGTTGGTGGTGTGTTTATAAGGTTAGTAAATCAACCCCAAGGTTTCGCTTCTTAGCACGATGGTATTATACACCAGAACGCATACATAAAATGTATCCATCAAAGACAGAGTTATGTTGGAGGAATTGTGGTAATATTGAAACTTTTGTACATATGTGGTGGTCCTGTCCCAAACTTCAACCCTTCTGGTCTCGGGTGGTGGAATTGATTGAAGGGATTACAACAATTGCATTATCCTTGGACCCGATGATATGCCTCTTTCATTTTATGGACTTGTCGATTTCAGTTTATAAAAGATCACTGTTGTGTCCGTTACTTAATGCTGCCAAAATGCTGATACCACTACATTGGAATAAAAATACTATCCCAACGGTGAAAGAGTGGTATAATAGAATAGAATATTACCGATTGATGGAAGAAATGACATCAATACGGATAGATACTTTTAAGCAATTAGAAAGTACTTGGCAACAATGGGACAATTTCAAAAACTCCCCCGGATACACAGAGGATAGAGGATAGAGGAGAAATATAGTAAGATAAATGGCTGGGTAACGGAGATGGTCACAGGGGACGGGATAATACCCAAGGTTGCTTTCATATGTTTTAGTAAAATATTATACAGATGTTCCTCACTTACCGACTTACCTGTTTTGCGACCACTCGCACTTACGACGGAGCGCCGATCGACCTCCGACCTTGCGCGTCAGCGTCAGTGCGCCGTGTCGCCGGCGGAAGTGGTGTCCTCCGATCTTCATTGCGGGTCCTGGTAAGTATTTTAATTGCCC